ATCTGCCCATTTGGATCTGCATAGCTTTTTGAAAATACTGTGTAGTGCTTGCCCAAAGCCTGACATATTTCAGAATAAGAGAAAGATTGTTTGCTGAGACCTGAAATTAGAAGACTTGTTTGAAGTTTCAGAAGACTTCAAGCTCTTCCCTTCCTCTTTTTGTTGTTGCTACGTTCTTTTTTCCCCTAATAGTTGGGCCTTTCTTTATATGAGTGTCCCCTGTATATTGCAGGGGCTGAGCTACTGCTTCATTCACAGACCTGAGAAGGCCTGCCTTTTCCCTCCATACATCTGTATAAATACCCTGGTCTTTATTGAGGTCTGTTTTTCTTGCATTAGAAACACTGGGTGGAGGGCGACCACTTCAGTACGAGTGGATAAGCCAGTGCTTGGGACACCCACATCCCACAGTGGAGTGCCTGGTTTGAGTCTCAGCTGCCCTGTGCCTCCAGTCCAGCTTCCTACTAATACACTTGGATGGAGGTAGATGCAAACCCAAGTAATGGGGTCCCTCCGACTTGTGGGAGATCCAAATGGAGTTTGTGGCTCCTGGCTTCACGCTGGCCCAACTCTGGCTGTTGTGTGCACTTGGGAGAGTAAACCAGCACACTGAAGATTGATATTCTCCTGGAGAATATCTTCCCTCCCTCCCTCTCATTCTGTCTTTCAAATAAATAAATTTTAAAAAATCTTAAAAAAAAAACAACAGGAATACCCAGTAGAATATCTAGTTAATGTGAGTCACGTATTAGAACTATCTGGTTCCGTTTGATGAACTACTTCCGGAGTAGTTTTTATTAAGAAAACACAAAGGGACAGTGCCAGAGGGCACTTGGAAGATTTGGAAAGCAAAATAACAGGCTTCTGTCTGTTTGTTTACAGGAAGCAATGAAAATTACCAAAAAGGGTCTTTTTAAAAAAGATTTATTTTAGAGGCTGGTGCTGTGGTATAGCAGGTAAAGCTGCCTCCTGTAGTGCCAGCATCCCATGTGGGTGCTGATTTGAGTTTCAGCTGCTCCACTTCCGATCAGCTCCCTGTTAATGTGCCTGGGAAAGCAACAGAAGACGGTCCAAGTCCTTAGGCCCCTGCACCTACGTGGGAGATCCGGAAGAAGCTCCGGGTTCCTGGCTTCACATTGGCTCAGCTCTGGCCATTGCAGCCATTTGGGGAATAAACCAGCAATTGGAAGACCTCTCTCTTTCTCTCTGCCTCTGCTTCTCTGTAATTCTGCCTTTCAGATAAATAAATAAATCTAAAAAAATTCCGATGCCTTCTTAAAAAAAAAAAAAACAGAGGTTTATTTTATTTGTTTAAGAGAGAGAGAGAGAGATACTCCATCTGCTGGTTCACTTCGCAATTGGCCACAACAACTGGAGTGGGGCCAGGCTGAAGCCAGGAGCTTGGAATGCCATCCTGGTCTGGCATGGATAGCCTGGGCCCAGTACTTGAGCCATTTTTAGCTGCTTTCCTAGGTGGATTAGCAGGGAGCTGGATTGGAAGCAGAGCAACAGAGACTCAAACCCTTGCACAGACATGGGATGCAAGCGTTGCAGGTAGCAGCTTAACCTGCTATGCTATAATGCTGGCCCCACAGAAAGCAGTCTTATTACAGAGTGCTGATAAGATTAATGACAGAGAGCTGGGGCTTCAGTTTAAGCAATTATTTCATCAGCTGTGTGACTTTGGTCAGGTCACCGTACCTTGTTGGACAATTCTCATTCCTCGTCTGTAAATGAGCTCCGTTCATACTCCTGTAAGGTTCCTTTTAGTGCTCGTACTCTATGATTGTGCTACAGGAGCTGAGGAATCTGAAGACTTCTAAGGATATTTTGTATGATGGCTACAGGTATGCTAGGAGCAATCTGTGTGTGGGGCATGGTGGATCTGTGGCACGAACCTGTGGTAGCAGGGGCCAAATCTTTGTAATCCTGCAACACAGTTCATGACTGGTGTAAAACAGTGTGGCCGTATGATGGAATGAATGAGCTAAGGCCTGGCAGCAGCACAGTATGGAAAGCAAAGACTTGGAGTGGAGGCATCCCTCACCCACTGGTAATGGACAGCCTCTGCCAGTTCTGTGGCTCATGTTTTGGGCCCTTGGGAGACTTCTAATAAAGGCAAAGCTGTAAATCTGCTCCCAGGCTTTGCTGAGGGGTCAGGATGGTATAGTGAGCAGCATCCTTTGTCACAATGATTTCCAGGGCTTTCCACCAGCAGTCTAGCCACAGACAAGATGCTGTGCTAGCCTGGATTATAGACTGGGGAAAAGAGATGCCTTATAGCAGTGTGTGAGGTGCATTGCTCTTGGGAGCCTTGTGCACCATTAACAGAATAATGGAAGGTTTGCTATTCATTTGAAAACCATATAGTATATGCTAAACTAGCTGTTTACATGGTATTGGTATTGGTATGAAAATTAAGGACTCTTGAGGATAAATAATATTCTGCTTAACAGTTGAGGGAACTGATGTTCAAATCAATCAGTTAAATCACTTAGGGTTATAGGCTCCCTACTCGATCCATGGTCTGTAAATTTACCATTCTTGAACTTCCTTTCTTCTCCAAGGACACTCTCTTATTCCTGCGATTCAAAATGTTACACACTAGTGCTGTCTCCCTTTCCCCTCATTTTAAAAAAAGATTTATTTATTTGAAATGAAGAGTTACAGAGAGATAGAGATATTTTCCATCTGCTAGTTCACTCTCCAAATGGTCACAATGGCCAGAGTTAAACCAGGCTGAAGCCAGAAACCTGGAACTTCATCCAAGTCTCATGTGCGGGTGGCAGGGCCCCAAGCACTTGGGCCATCTGCTGCTGCCTTCCCAGGTTCATTATCGGGGAGCTGGATCAGAAGTGGAGAAGCTGGGTGCTCAAATGGGATGCTGGCATCACAGGCAGCGGTTTAACACACTGTGTCATGACACCAACCCGTGTTGTGCCTTCTTAACTTTCATACTATACTGTCCCTACTCAGTGAAGAGAAATCACTTGAATTTTTTTTTTTTTTATCATGTGATAATGTCTGTGGGCAGAAGGAGTGAATCTCTGGAGTTAAGTCAAGGTGTCCTATTAGAGGACTGGAAACATTTAGTTTGATTGTTACTTCCTTCTGGTCATACAAATGTTCTTTCTGCCTTTTGAGAAGTCTTCAAGAGAAAAAAAAAATGCAGTTTTTAAATAATGCCCCAAAGTTAATTTCAGAGTAGATAATAAAATAAAAGATAATAAAATCTTGTTTTCATGAAATATGTAGGGATCAAGATAATTCAATGTTAGTTGCATATTCTATGATATATATATATATATATTTTGAGATTTGGGGAGGATTTTATTTAAACTTTTTTTTTAACTTTTATTTAATGAATATAAATTTCCAAAGTACGGCTTATGGATTACAATGGCTTTTCCCCCATAACGTCCCTCCCACCCGCAACCCTCCCCTTTCCCACTCCCTCTCCCCTTCCATTCACATGAGGATTCATTTTCGATTCTCTTTATATACAGAAGATCAGTTTAGCATACATTAAGTAAAGATTTCAACAGTTTGCTCCCACACAGAAAAATAAAGTGAAAAATAATAGATGATTTTTTAAATGATGATGAAATCAGATCAGACCTATTGTCATGTTTAATCCCAGTGAGAGTCAAGTTGGGAATTGATAATTTCTTCTTCTTCTTTTTTTTTTTTTTTTTATAGAAGATCAGTTTAGTATGCATTAAGTAAAGATTTCAACAGTTTGCACCCCCATAGAAACACAAAGTGAAATATACTGTTTGAGTACTCGTTATAGCATTAAGTCTCAATGTACAGCACATTAAGGACAGAGATCCTACATGAGGAGTAAGTGCACAGTGACTCCTGTTGTTGACTTTACAAATTGACACTCCTGTTTATGGCATCAGTAATCTCCCTATGCTCCAGTCATGAGTTTCCAAGGCTATGGAAGCCCCTTGAGTTCTCCGACTCTTATCTTGTTTAGACAAGGTCATAGTCAAAGTGGAGGTTCTCTCCTCCCTTCATATATTATAGAACTTAACTATACTTCAACACTCTGGGATATAACTGATTCTTAAATTTTGCGTGTGAAATGATTTGTGCATGCTGAAGGAACAAATGCCCAAGGAAGGGAGGAAAGGATGTGGGCGAGAACACATTGGAGCGGTGGTGATGGGGAAACACTCGCTGTGGCAGAGGGGTTCAAGTAAGACGGGTTGGGGAAGGTCGTTTGCTTTTTGGGGGCATAGGCTGTCTTGGCCTCATTCTTGTCATATGAGCATCATTGTTCTTTCCTTTTATTAACGAATGTTATTTCTTTTCTCTTTTGGAATCCACAGTCTGTAACAATTGGTAAGCTTGGTATCGGGAACACTGGTGGTGGACAACAGATGCTTGTGTTTATTAAGCATGTCTTAGCACGGAGTATGTTGTTGCGTCTCGGCAGTTGTGTGCCAACCATACATGAAATGAGATGCCTCTCCTTCTTTCATTCTGTAAAACTAGCAGTTTTCTAAGGAGTTGTTATTAAAAAAGAAAAAATATAAGGAGTGTGCTCTTAAAATATTTAGGCAGGTAGGGTTTATTCAAAATATAAAGTGCCAAAAGTGGAATGTTTCATAAGCTGCACTTTGAAAGCTGGCTCACAAATGTTTCTGGAATTGTCATTCAGCTGTGGCAATTTTGTTTGATTGTTATACGAACTTGGAAGAAAGTAACACTGAACAGATCTTAATGGTGTTCTTTTATCCATAACTGTAGTTACGGATTTTTTTAAAAATGAATCTTGCACATAGAAAAGCACATTGAAAATTTTACAACTTAATGACATTTTCGGTTTATTAAAATTAATTTTTTAGAATACACATTTTGGAATAAAAATTGTTTAGTTAAGTATTTAATGGGAATAGAATTAGTAAATGTAACATATTTCATGGGCAATTTTACAGAAATAATAAAAAGTAACAAGGACCCTTAATACATTTACTATTTTTCTGTTCTAGATATTTGAATGGTGGTATTTTCGCAAGTATGGAACATCATTCATTGAACAAGTCTCAGTAAGCCACTTGCGCCCTCTTCTGGGAGGGGTTGACAACAACTCCTCCAACAATTCTAACTCCAGTAATGGGGATTCAGATTCCAACAGGCAAAGTGTCTCAGGTATGGGAAGTTCTTCAGTTTCCAACATTATTTCCTGACTCTTACTGAACTATTACTGTTGCTCTTACTAAATTATTATTATTGATAAATTGTTATGACTATAAGACAGTAAGACGATGCTACTAAAAGATTATAATTCAGAGAAAAATTCAGTTCATTTTTCTCTGGGTGTTGACAACCTGTCAGAGAAGTAGGGGATAAGCATCCCAGGAAAACAAAATGTTTATATTGCTGATTTTACTTTTTTCTCCCATTTTATATAGCAAATGGTCACTTAGGTCAGTGTTTCCAACTAGAGGCTTTTGTCTCCTTGTTCATAGTTTCTCAGATTTCATGAATGGTCCATTTCTTCGATGACAGTTGCAGAATCTTGTGTCCAACTAGATCTGATCGCATTACCCCTCTGCTGAGAATTCATTGGTTCCCGTCCCACTGAAGATAAAGCCCAAGTTCCAGTTTCCTTAGCACAGCTTGAACTGCTTCTGGCCCATCTTGCCAGCTGCAGCTTCTGCACAGCCCGGTCCCTTTCCTGTATGTCCAGCTTCCTAGAAACCTACTTTCCATTTCTCGAGCATGCCACATTTCTCGTGACTTTGTCTAGAAATCTGCCTCCCCCCTTCATTTGTTTATTCAGCCGTCACGACCCAAAATCAGATGTCACCTCCTGAGAGCCTTCTCTGATACATTACACACTCTCTCTCCACTTGTCTTGCCCCTTGGTATTTTTACCTTTAGCAACATTTAGCAAATTGCACTGTGACTTTTAAGATGCTGCTGTACAGTGGTATCTCTAGCATCTTGTGCAGTGTCTTCTTTATTTTTGAAACAGTGAATGCATGGATGCATGCAAGTCCTGTACTTTCTCTGCTTATCAAGCAAGAAGGGAGAATACAGTTTCCTAGCTCAGTCTCTGTGTCAGTTCAGTAAATATTTCCTAAGTGCCTAGTATGAGCCTGGTTTTATATAGAGTCTTATGAATATTTTGATTCTAAGAAGTCAGAGTCCATATCCCCATGGAACTCTCTGTGTCCCGAAGGAGACACAGTGATGAGAGCTTTCATTATTATGAGGGAGACTGGCTGTGTTTTAGAGAACCAGTGAGGAGCCCTTGACCACACTGGTAGAAGGGGTTTGCTTTTTGAATGAGAGGGAACCAGTTCTGAGATTTGAAGGAGAGCAAGGAAGAAATTGAAAGACCTAAGGTTAGGATCCTCCTCCTTTTCTCTAGAATAACTCGATCTACATTTCAGACTGGGTTCTACACATCAACAAACTTTGTACAGAGATTTCATTCCAGGTATTGATTCAGTGTTCTTTTTACAACCTTTTAGTTTCAGAGGATTTCAGAGGGATGGAGGGAGGGTGAAGGAGGGAAGGAGTGAGAGGGAACTTGCCCATCTGCTGATTCACTTTCCAAATACCAACAGTCACCAGGGCTTGGCCATCCGAACCCAGAAGCCAGGAACCCAATCTAAGTCTCCCACCTAGGTGGGAGGGACTTAACTACTTCAGCTATCACCTGCTGCTTTGTAGGGTGTGCACTGGCAGGAAGCTGGATTCAGCAGTGGGGCCAGAACTTGAATCCAGGCACTCTAATATACGATGTGGGTATCCCAACCAGTAGCTTAACCACTAGGCCAAATGCTCAGCTGACAATCCTCTTTGTTCTTTTAAAGATTTATTTGAGGGGCCGGAGCTGTGGCACAGTGGGTTAAAGCCCTGGCCTGAAGAGCTGGCATCCCATATGGGAACTGGTGGAGTTCTGGGCTGCTAGCTTCAGCCTGGCTTAGTCCCGGTTGCTCCTCTTCTGATCCAGCTCTTTGCTATGGCCCTGCACCCTCGTGGGAGACCCAGAGGAAGCTCCTGGTTCCTGCCTTTGGATTGGTGCAGTTCTGGCCCTTGCGGCCATCTGGGGAGTGAATCATCGGAATGAAGAACTCTCTCTCTGTCTCTACTGCTCTCTGTCTCTCTTTCAAATAAATAAAATAAATCTTTAAAAAAAAAAAGATTTATTTGAAAATCAGTTACAGCCAAAGAGGGAGAGTCAGGGAGAGAGAGGAAGATCTTCCACTGCTTCATTCCCTAAATAGCCGTAATGGCTGGGGCTGGGCCAGGCTTCAGCCAGGAATCTGGAACTCCATCCAGGTCTCCCTCATGAGTGGCAGGGGCCCAAGGACTTGGACCACCTTCTGGTGACTTTCCAGGCAGATTATCAGGGAGCTGAATCAGAAGTGGGGCAGATTATCAGGGAGCTGAATCAGAAGTGGAGCAGCCAGGACTCGAACCAGCACTCATATGGGATGCCGGCATCGTAGGTAGCAGCTTAACCCACTGTGCCATAACACTGGCCTCTTAATGCTCTTTTAATGCATACTTTGCCAGCCAGCTGTGAGTAGTATGTGACAGCTGTTAGACGCACTTATTTCATCCAAAGTGTACATACATGAGACATGGTACTACCCAAGTAAAATTATCTGGGATTTTGTAAACTCATTTACTTTTTGAAAGAATAAGAAAGACCCGGGCAAAGCAACGCATGCCTTAACCAGATACTGTAATAAACATGGCTTATTATACTAATGAGGAGTCTCCATCATTCAGTCATATAACCAAAGCAGTTGTGGATAATTGCCACCACTTTGAATCTGCTGTAAAGACCCCACAGATTAAATATGCTCTTCTCTGACTCGAGTTACAGTCTTTGGATGACCCAGAACATTATAGAAAATTAGCAGATTGAAAACGGAATGCATCCTCATTTGAGGCTATTCTGTATGGTGAATACATCTGTATTTTCATTACAGTCTCCTCATGCCGTCTGCCCAATTTAAATCTCTTACATGGTTCTGTAATGCCATGAAGACTTCATGCTCTTCTTATTGCCATAATTATTATGCCTTCTGTCTCAGTGGATGCCTGATTAAGCCTTATTCTTCATATGAATATTTTTAAAGGATTTAATTATTTTTTATTTGAAAGAATTACTGAGAGAGGGATATATATATATATGTGTGTGTGTGTGTGTGTGTGTGTGTGTGTATGGAGAGAGAGAGATCGCTTCCATCTGCTGATTCACTGCCCAGATGACCTTGATGTCCATGGCTGAACCCGGCTGAAGGCAGAAGCCTGGAGCTTTCTCTGTCTCCCATGTGGGTGCAGGGGCCCAAGTACTTGGACCATCCTCTGCTGCTTTCCCAGGTGCATTAGCAGGGAGTTAGTTTGGAAGTGGAGCAGCTGAAACTTGAAGTAGTACCCATACAAGATGCCAGTGCTGCAGGCACCTGCTTAACCTGCTGTGCCACAGCACTGGCCCCTTCATATGAATCTTGATGCCATTCTTTCAGCTGTTATAGCAGCTTTATAAGGAAGAACCTAATTTTTATATCTTTTAAAAATTTATTCAGCATTAATAACCAGGCAATTTTCAGTTTTATTTGTATTGAGTTTCTGCCTGGCTAAGACTGAGCTTTTGAATATTATTGTTAATTCAATTCCATTAGTATTTAGTGAGTTCCAACTCTATATTTTATATTCTGTTCATCTGAATAAATAGAGCATTTATGATCTTACCACCATGTTCAACCAATTGCCTTTAGAAAAATAGTGAGGTGTGGGGAGCAAACCGGACTAGACTGTTACTGGAATTAGGACTTATTCTATGCATCTGCTCTCCCACAATATGGCGCTGGGAGAGAAGTAAACAGCTTCCGCACAGCTGCCTCCAGTTCAACCAATTAACTGTAGGACTTGTTCCTGATTGGAGGAGAGCAGCGTACTCGGCGTGTGGGCAGCCGAGTTGGGATTGGCGGAGGAGGACTATAAAGGAGGAGAGAGACGGCATGCACCGGGAACATCTATGGGGAACATCTAAGGGAACCCGTGCAGCCCCCGAGAGAACCGGCTGGCGGTGTGCCGCTCCCCTGCGGAAGTGGGGAATGTGGCCAGGGGGAACTGCCCTTCCACGGAGGTGGAAGGGATAGTAGCCAACCCGGGAAGAACCAGCAGCAAACCCGGGGAGGGCCGAGCAGACGAAAGAACAGCGCAGGGTCCTGTGTCGTTCCTCCACGAAGAGGGGGAGCGACAGTGAGGTAGGCTTTTGATGTGACAGTTATGCTACTTAGGATGTCCACATCCCATATTGGAGTGCCTGGGTTTGAGTTTCATTTCCACTCTTGTTCCCAGCTTCCTGTTATTGTACACCTTGGGAGGCAGCAGAGGATAGTGTGAATAATTCAGTCATTGGAACTCACATGGAAGAGCCTGATGGAGTTCTGGGCTGCTAGCTTCAGCCTGGCTTAGCCTCAGCTGTAACAAGCATTTGGGGAGTGAATCAGTGGACAAGATTCTCTCTCTCTCTCAGATAAATAATTCATAAAGTTTATAAAAGACAAATGCAAATTAACTTGTCTAAGTATACCTAGGGCCCAATCTGCTTGCTTTTTGAAACTTGGGCTTCTAATATGTGGCTAACTCAAACAAACACAAATTATGGTATGAAAGTACTAGATCATCATGGGACTAATGCTGTTTTCCATTTCTCCTGTGATGACTTTTATTTTTGAAATAAAAATGTATAAAGTGCATTGTCTGCATTTATCTCTATCCTTAAGCACTCTGTATTTCATAGTCTGACTTCAACTAAGTATAATGGAAAAAGGAGACTAAAAAACCTTTAGGGTAATCAATACTCTTTCCTTAAAATAGAGAGGCTTGTTTTGAAAATTCCTGTTGCCTTCATAATAATAAAATGAGTATAGGCTGAATAACAGAAGGATGAATCTACTTATTTTTCTGGAACATCATAAGTCACCTCTTTGCTAAACCTTACATGAAATACAATGTGTCTAATGAAATCTCATGGATATTGCCATAGGCAGTTTGATGGCATCGTTTATGTGAGAAAAATCATAGAAAAGGCTAAAAAATTTTTTTAAAGTTTTTAGTTATAAACATTGGTCTATATGAAAACTCACTGTTGCTCTTTGCTTAAAAAAATCATT